AGATATCAAAAAAGTACTCCAGAGTGTTGTTCAGCATGGGGGTGAGTAGAAAATGAAGGCTAATCATGTTTTGGGTGTACTATTCCTTTAAGGCCTTAAATAGGGAGTCTGCATCAGTGCAAGCTCGCTGGAATTCGACAGCGGGGTAAAGTGGCGGAGAAATATGTGCATTCAAGTTAGAAAAAAAAGAGACAAAAGATGTAAGTAATCCCACTGTACAATATTTTGCCCTTTTCGGGGCAATGTTCCAGTTTTGCGAGAAATTTTCCATCGGGCCGACTTTCAGCCTGATCGTGCGTCGTGTAGCATACAGGGGGTAACGAGGGGCCATCAGCCCCACCTCCCGATCAGGAATCGTAAGGTCGGGAGAAAAAACAAACATGTTTGAAATCCAGTCGACCGTCGTAGGGTCGCATCAGAGCGTCGGGCCGAGTGTAAGAACGTGCACCGTGAGCTGTAGCTGCATGCAACGATTGGAAATATCGTACAGCGTATGCCCGGCTTAAATGGAAGGTCCTCTTTGAAATAGTTTTATTAAAAAAAAAAAAAAGGCAAATGTTTGAGGTTATGTTAACATGTACCAAAGAGCTACAGCCACACACGTGGCGTCACCATGTTGCCATAGGAACTACTGTGTTCCCTTTCTGTTAGAGGGAAGAGGCCCTCCCATTATAAAAAAAATTACTTAAAAAAAAAAGTTCTCCAACAAAAACAAAAAAAAAACATAATACTGCTTAAAGTGCATTTCTAATTGAACATGGCTGTAATGTTGCCCTTAGATGGAAGTTTATCGTCTCTCATACCAGCCTCATTCGTCTTCCTTCTGTTTATATCTTAGAAAAATCATAAGTCTGAGGTTTACCCATTATACTGATCTGCACAGTTATATAACAAATATCAAATTAGCTTTAGCAGAACAGAGCGACAGCGCACCACTTACTGGCTGGAAGGAGTTAAACTTAAAGGAAAGCCTTTTCTTTTTTACTCCTTTTGCAGAACTTACTTTTTGATTCTGCCTGAATCAACAGAAACTGGATTAACTAAGCTAATTAGTTCTGCAATTTATGGAAGTAAACCTCTGTTTTACTAATGTTATGGAAGAGAAATAATCAACCAAATAAAAACTAAAGAGATCAGAAACAAACAGGACATTAACTTATTTTAAACAAGATGCACCTCAGAGTGAAGATACATTTATAATTTTCCATCCAATCTTTTCTTAATTGTGAAAGCCTTTATACGAGTTAATGCAGAGCTCAAACTGCTTCCTGTCAGAATGGCCATCAGAGTCATATTTCATGTGCGAGTCATTTCTGACATGCTTTCTTGTTCAGTTTGAGGCGATTACTTATGAAATGCCACTAGAGGATTGTCTAAACAACAAACAGAAGTTAAAAAAAAATGTCCAGTAACACTGACTTAGAGCCAAGCTCCTTCTCTCGTCCACCTGTTCACCATGGAAAGCTTAGCAGGACAAACACACCCATTCCTGACATACTGAAACTACCCAACAAGAACCCCCCCCATAAACTTTGCTCCTCTGAAGTTACAAGAACTAAAACCTGGTGAACTTTTATCCTAAATGTGATGAACTCAGAACAAACAGAAGCAAAATGTGCCATTTACCATGTTTTCTATAGGGCTCCTCCTCATTCTCAGGCATGTTGAAACTCCTTTCAGGGCCAAACGCCGAGATGTAGAGAAATTATCTGCTCACTTCTTCTGCTACCAGTGAATAGAATGGAGAGAACCAGAAGCAGAGCGTAAAACCAGTCCGACCTGTCTGCTAATAATCCAACGACGCTCCACCTAACCCTCAACTCTCGTCCCACTTCTGTTTATGCTGAAACAACTGTGTTCCACCTGCAGAATATCTTGCTTTAACTCCACCCTTTTCCTATAGACCTCATGCTGTGTGGGGAGAAAAAAAACATCTTCACGCCCACAAAAGCATTCAAACACATCTACAGGGAGGCAGGGAGGGGAACTGAGGGGTGGAGATTGTAATCTGAGGAGAACTTGGTGGGATGCATTCAGGAGGCATGGAAAAGAAAAAGAATCCACCTCATGTTTGGATGAACAATTGGTTTCAGGTGTGGAGTCTGAGGGGATAATTACAATCACCTGCCATGTTTCCTCCCTCTTGTGGAGAATTTTGGGTATTGCATCAGACTGCAATAGGAGGACACAAAAAGTCCAACAGTTTCTTGTTGCTTTATTGAGTTTCCATCAGAGGGGACAGGATGTTTGCTCCTCTCTCTCTGTTTGGCATTTCCAAGCAAAAGCAGTTGAAACATACTGAATCAATCAATCTACAATGAGAGCGCAGAAACCAAATGTTGCAAATACTTTCCACACATGCAGAGTGAGAGCAGAAAGAAGGGAAACAAGGAAATGACAGAAAGTTTCCTTCAGCTCTGCTCCTGTTTCATGACCAACCCTACAGCCTACAGCCCACACACTGCAGCTCTAACCATCATATCTCTGCTCAAAGGATTGTTTTCATTCATTTTATTATTCACTACTAAATATTATATGTATTTTTCTACATTCACCTCAGATTATACGGTAGGCTACTAATTCCCCACATCAAGCTCTTTCCCATTACAGGCCCAGAGTCAACACCCAGCAACCATTATTGTCATTCAGATCATTAAAGTTAATCCAACAGGATATTGAGCCAGATGAGATTTTGGATTCAATTTACCAGGGAGGGGATGGAGTGTTTTTTCAGAACAAAAAAATAACTATTTTAAAAAGCATTAAGTCAATTAAGTGAGCCAAGGTTGCAAACTCCTTATTTACTGTCTGGAAAGCTGTACTACACAAAAATGTAATTTTTTATACAATCTGTGTATAAAAAATTACAATACAAGTTGTCTAAGTAAAATGATCTAAGATGAAAACTGTGATCCTATCTTAATATGAGTAAAACTTAAAGCCAACTGTGGTTTAAATAATCGTTCAAGTCAATTATGAAGGCAAAATATTAAATTGGTCCAAGAAATCAGTTGAAATCTTTCCAGTCACCACATATCATCATAAGAAAATAATCTAGTATTACAAGACAATAAAAATGTTCCAAAAAAAGTAAAAACTTCTTAAAATTTGTGCATTTGCTAGTGAAGGGTCCATTAACATCGATGCGTCGGTGCACGCGTCGAGCCCATTGAGCAAAACACTGTATCGTTGCGCGTGTCGTTTCAAGAAAGTCATGTGACCGATACAGGAGTTGTTACTAACTGACTGACTCACTAAACTATGTTTAAAACGGATCTGTCAACATGATGCATCTGCTCAAAAAAATGTCTCATCTTTTGTGGTTTATCATTAAAATTATCCAGACTTTCATAGCAGCCTAACAGGAATAGGAACTTTTCAGCTGTTGCGTTTTGTATTTAATTTTTTTTTTTTTTTTTTTTTTACAGTTTGCTGTCTGGCAATGTGGCAATAAGAATTGTCTTGATGCCAAAAAGAGCCCAACAGATTTTACTTTCACAAGTGTAGCAGTATGGCAATTGCCATAATCCTCCACTTGTTTCATGCATTTAAATTGCTTTATTATAATTATGCAGGGAGTTTTACAGTTTATATGGACACTGCAATGTAAATAGAGCAGAAAAACAGAAGAAGAAAAGGAAAAAAGGGAAAGGAAAAAAGAGAAAAGATGAAAGAAAGAAGAGATAGAAAGACAATTTATTTCAAATTTTTACTTACTATTTGTTTTTACTGTACTAATTATTTTAAAATTAAGATTTAAAAAACATGTCTACAAGGATCCTCATTCACATTTTCCCCTACATTTTTACACTATGATATATGTTTATAGTATTTATTGGCTGCATCAAAAGTTTCTAAAGATATTTTCAATTTAAACATAGATGTGAAATAATACAATATAGCAACAATAACTTCTGTCAAATAAACTGCCTGTAGTGTCTTTAAATGTCCAGCAGGTGTCAGTATTCTGTGAGACCGTATATAAGCAGGATCAGTTTGGTGATGTGTCAAAATCCTTCAAGATGTCTCAATAACCCATCACTAGTGTTTGGCCTTAATTTGAGCAGGTAAACAAGAGTTCCTGCTGAAGGAAGAAGATTTTTCTGCTCTCAAAATCAGATAATTAGATATTATACACTTGAAATAAGTAAACAGATTTCTTTTTTTTTTATTTCAAGCTAAAATTATGTTATTCCACCTATAAATGCTACCTGCTTAAATGAAAAGAAACTTTTTTCATAAAAAAATTTATTTTTACACTGTATGTATTCAGTACAGGGGCTCTATCAGGGGCCAGAAAGAGGTCTACAAGGGCCCCTGTCTAGAACTACCCATGTGACGGGGCCATGCTTACTTTCAGAGGCTGTAGCAGAGCCTATAATAGGGGTGGGTGTCTGGGCTATAATGTATTAATTGCTTTAAAACAAGTTTCAATGCATAACTCTAAACATGATGTCTGCATCAGATTCTAACGGTTGATGCATCTCCAGTTGAAAAATGTTCAAAATTAAGACATTTTAACCTTAATAAATGGTAATAGTTAGGGATTTTCCAAGGTAAAAATCCTTTCCTTTAAGAATGAGCTATAGAAGTTAATTTGAAAACATCCACAGCAGTCTGTATTGCTTCAGAAAACTGCTAACCTTTGTGCAATGAAGAAGGGTTGGTTTTGGTGTCTGTGAGCTGTGATGGGCTTAGAGACAGAGGCTGGACTCAGCTGAGAACTAAACTACAGCAAACAGTCATACCCCTGCTGTTATCAACTAATAACTGACCCCTGTCCACTGTTACCAGCTCTGGGCACTAATCGGTGCACTGATTGCAGTTTTCTGGACAATCACTGATCTTAAAAATCCTGTCCTGCCTTTTCTGATTTTGGTCAATAACGATTATGTTTATATCAAATGCTATCAGATGTTATAAGATTGCAATACACTAGAGATAGGCCAATAAAGGTTTCCTTTAAAGGCTGATTATTCTGAAAATAAACTAGGGCTGCAACTAACGATTATTTTGAAAATCAATTAATCAGATGATTATTTTTTTCTATTAATCAATTAATAATCCGATAGCCAAAGGTTCCTTAAAGAAGGTGTTTGAGAAATCAAACCAGGTAAAACTAAAACTTTTCCACTTACGGAATTCTGGATTGAACATATGGACAGAAAAATTTTTTTTTACATATTTGTTTACAGTTCTGATATAATTTCTGCTCTAAGTGGGTCGCTCTATCATCTAAAGTCATATTTTACAGACTCTAAACTCCAGTTAACCATTAATCTAGCACCAAATTAGTTGATAATTATTTCAATAATCAATTAATCCAATTCATTTATTCAGCCTTAAAATAAACCCATCCCCAATATGTGCTGCTGCTGATATTGTTGGGCCCATCTTGAGGCTGATATTGCATTTTCTTCCTTTATTTACATTATAAAAATGTCAAAATGATGATGTTTTTCAAGTCTCAATTTAAAGAAAAGGACATCATTAACAACATTAACAAATGAAAGAAAACATTAACTATGCTAGGAAACAGAGAGTGCCGCAATGCATACAGTTAACATTATTTCAAGGCATGACTGCTGAACAAATAATTAATAATGAATCGATCAACGCAAACATGTATCAGAAGAAAAGGAGCTATTATCAGCTAGCTAATGTATCGCTCTATCTCTACATCTGCAATGTTTTTAATCTTCTTTTAGTAAAACCACATAAAATAAAATAATACCTGTAAAATAATACTTGTTCTAGCTAGAGAGATACTGCTTTAAAATATAAATAAAAAGTTTCCAGATTCTTGAGAACAGAAACTGATAATCAAACCTTTGCTAAGGTAAATAAGATATGTGGATAAGTTCTGTTTAACATGACGGAATCAGACGATGGACAGTCAGCCAAAGTTAAGTGCTCCCCTGGTTGGTACACCTGCAGCAGGTACCTGAACTTTAGGGTTATGCCACAAAAAATCGAGTTTCCAATTGTGAATTGACTCTGATATAAATTCATAAAGATTTATTTGTATAAAAAAGATATAAAATGTGTTTTTATTGTCCTTAGAGCCATCATTAACTTAATTTATTTTAATGTTGAATGTTAAAATAATACTAGTATCAATACATTGCATAACGACACAGTCATATAATTCAGGTTACAGCTAAAAAATATATATAATAAAATAAAATAGCGGCAATAACGATTTGAAAACAAATGATTCTACATTTCAAGAATCAGAATCAAATTTAATTTTAAAGTTTGAATAGATTTCCAGCTCTTAACCCAAAGTAAGTTTTTTTGGGCTGTTTTTAAAACCTCGTTTTCTAAAGGAGCACAACTAGTGGTGCTGATAGGTGACATTCTGCCATGCATGTCTGAACTAAAACCCAAATCAGTACTGAACATAGGAGTTCTCAACCATCCATCCTCCAATACAGCAGCTATAAAGCCAATTCCAAAGCTGTTTCATGACCTTAAACAGGCCTAAAATCCTTCAGTGTGGCTCAATTAGAACTGAATTATAACAAGAGAGTGTTTCACGCAATTCCTCCACAGTGATGTAGATGGCTCATTACCAGTTAACACAAACACTGGACAGGAGCTGTTCCCATCAGAGATGGAGCAACCAGTTTTTAAGGTTCAGATGAAATTACTTTTCCACATAAGAACACTTTTTTTTTTTAGCCTATTAAACAAACTCACGTTAAATGTGTCAAATAGTGACGTAGCAAAAACATAACATACCAGATCCCGCAAAATATAACACAATTTGGTATCATAGTTTAACTTTGAAATTAAATAGTAATTTAATTTTGACTTGTTACAAATCAAAAGATAAAAAAGGCTTAGA